TTTTAGGGGGGGATACAAGTTGAACACAATGTTAATTGTGTAAATGTTTGTTATAAACATCTTTCAAAGGTTGCTTATGTTTTTATAAGTGATTAGAAGATTTCAAAAAAACTCTTTTTAAGTTATGTTACCTTATAGTTTATAAAACTCTGTTTTTAAAGTACAATCATAGCTTAGTATATAATTGAGTCTTTTTCAGTAACAGTTCAAGTAAACATACTAGTAAACTATAATAGGTATAGTTTAGGGGTTCAGTTCATACTAGATACTAGAACACACAATAAAGAGAAACAGGGAAGAAGATACAATACACGATAACAAAAGGAACATACTAAGATACTATAATAGAAAGAACATACTAAATGCTATACCAGAAGTACAATATTAGATCTAATTATACCAATAATCACTAACTCATTGTTCTAAACAAAAGGTGATAGTAAATTGGGTATACATGATCATATAACTTTAATGTGAATTTACACGGCCTAGCAATTTGTTTGCAGAAGTCGCGTTTGGTCCCCATAATCTCTTGCAGGGAGAGCGTATAGTATGGGTACTACTCATCAAATTATGACCTTAATAAAACAAACTTGTTTTAAGGTAATCAGTACGTCAGCGTGTCAATTCAAAAGACAACTGAGTACTTACATTTTCCCATTACTTTCATATTGTCACAGTTCTACTTGAAAGTTAATGCAAACTATTTTCGAGTTAAGATAGTTATAAAGTAGGGAAAACTTACATCTTTCAAACGACAAATAGAACAGTCGAGTCTAGTACATTCAGTAGAAAGGGACCTATAATGCTAACTTTATGATTCCTTAGTGTATACCTCAGGGATATATATTAATCGGATCTGATAGGTAATAGGATGTGTGCTTTCTATTTCATTTCTTGTTCCTTGTTTGGTTGTGGGCTTAGAGCAGATTCACCCAGCCTACTATCTATTTGATCTTAGCTATATATGTGTTCTGTATACACCAAGTAATCACAAGGGGTACCAGGTATGGGTCAGGTCATAGGACAATAATTTAATGCACATTTTTCTAGTACAAAATATACTTTTCAAATAGAACATTTGACATACAAAACTAGAAACTTACCACTAAAGGGTTTAATCCATTTTATTAAACCAGTTTAACTTAAAGGACCTTACGTGGTTAATTCTATAACACCTTAGTTTACACATCAGGGTTATATATGCTTAATACCAGATAGATAATTAGATGTTTGCTTTCTGCTTCATTTCCTTTTCCTTGTTTGGTTGTGGGCTTAGGGCAGATTCAAATAATTAACTATATGTTCGATATTAGATTATATATAGCTAGTATAAGCTAAGGGATTAAACAAGGAAACACTGTGGTTACTAATTTTTACTAAAAGAAATAAGGGTTTTCTTAAAGAATCTTTTCATCAAATATAAAGGAACTATTACAGTTAAGTCCATGAGTACCAAGTGAATACACCAAGGTTATACACAAACGAAGAGCTAACAACCAATGGGATGTGTGCCATCCGCCTCATTCTTTGTTCCTTGTTTGGTTGTGGGCTTAGGGCAGATACACTCAATAAATTGTTTGTTTACTATGGGATTTATATAACTTGTATCCATTTAGTACTCATAGAAAGGATTGTAGAGTCATTTTTACTTATCTTTCATCAAAGCAGGAAATATAGGATTTTCTGGAGGAACAGGCGAACTTTTCTAAATAGAACTTACAACTTACTACAACTTTCTTACAACTTACTTACATCACTAAAATATTATGAACTCGCCATCTTAAATGTTGATCCTCTCTTTCAAAATAACTTGTATTCTCAGGAAACTAGTAGACAGGTACGCGTTCTGGGAATTCAGAAAATGGAGCATAATAGCTTCAAGTCTTGTTTAGTTATTTACATATGTAGTCTATGTTTTGTGAACAACATACTTTGTAAACACTTTCTTTCTAATGAAATGGTTGTTTATTACTTTGATTACTATGATGCATGTCTTGTGATACTAAACATGACGTCCTCCACCCCCGAACGTTTCCGTCGTTCCGGTTTTGGGGTGTGACACCTTCGCAGTTATAAGTTCTATTAGCCTGCGAATTGGTGCGAACACTCGTAGTAACTCGCAACCAACTATTCACACAGCAAATTGATGTGAATGTTTGTAGTGACTCGTAGTACACTATTCATTCGTGGTTTGGAACCATTCATATCCTTTGTATAATTTATTTATTACTTTTTATTTCTTTCTATTTTATTCATTTTTCTTTTTTCAGAAATATCAAAAATCCAAAAATATTTTATTTCTTTCTGTTTTCATTTCAATCAAAAATCCAAAAATATTTTATTTAGTTCCGTTTTCATTTCAAACAAAAATCCAAAAATATTTTATTTCTTTGTGTTTTTATTTCTTTCTTTAGAAAAACAAAAATACAAAAATATTTCTTTATTTTCACCATTTATTTCTATCCTAAAATCATAAAATACCAAAAATATTAGCTAATTAAGCAAGTTTTAAGGAAAACATCTTGGTGATCTCAATTATGAATGATGGGGCAGGTATAAATTCCAAAACTTTGCACTAGTTAACTGTCCCTAGAAGCATGTTGTTGCATGTCGACCAAAGCCTCAAAGACTTTCTATGTAGAAGCCTTAATGAATCGATAACACCAATTGTTTCTTCCCGATAAGGTTGTTTATTAACATAAGTTCAGAGCTACCTGAGTCTTCTCACATCGAGTTAAGAGTTACCTGCTTCGTCACTTTCGGATAGCAGAGGTACATTCTTTCTTTGGAACCACCTCATACCATTTCTTCATCAACTTTCGCATTCACATATGTAACCCTTGAGACTCTCAGAAGATACCACTGAGGTTTATGGTTACAACCAATTCTATGTTCATGATCTTAAATTTGTTATAAGCACGAATTGATTGAAACCCAAAATCCAACACATATATACGAATTGACGGTGAACATTATAAATGTTATAGACATTTCTCCTTGGAAATAACAAATGTCCACTTTCGTGGTCAACATTAGGAAATCTCTTTTTCTTATTGTGTGATCTTAATGAGACATTCTAGACCTAAGACGTTTCTTCCCAATAGATCTTTTTTTTTAGATTTCTATACTTATCCGAGTCACATAAAATAACTCGAAAGCATAATTGTTTTTATGGCTACATCGGTCAGACAAGTACTTCATCGAATGTTCGGACTTATATCAAGTTTCGTAGTTTGGTTGAAGATCAAACAACCCTTAAAGCCTAATCAAAAGATGCCTTTCACAGTTTCTCAACAAACATGTGATCATAATTCAATGGGAAACCACGCAGACACTTTAGAGTCTCTCTTGACTCCAAAGGAAGAGATTATTGCCCGGGATCCACTACGTTGTGTATTTATAAGACATCACTAATATCCCACAAAATTTTGATTTATTTCTTTATCTTTGGCACACTCTTGAACGAAGATCCTTGTGATTTTCAAAAGTTTGGTTCGTGGCACTTATATTTACTTTTAGTTTCACAGATACGTTGGTGACCAACAACTATGAAAGTTCATAAATGAATCAACTGCGAAAGCACATAACTGACACTGTATCTTAACAGATAAGATTGGGCATGAGAATTTGAAACGATGCTAATTTGAAATGACGTTGATTTCACGTTGCCTAAAACACATCACAACTATCAATCATGCCTTTTTAGTACCCAATGCAACCAATCGACGATTTTCTCTCGCCTACTACTCCTTATAAAAGGATTTCGATGCTTCATTAATTAATTACTACTCTTGAAAAGCAAACAAATCCTACGGCGATTATTCTCTACTGTTTATCGTCTTCTTCATCAAGCTTCAATGACAGCTTCATCAGAGACACCTTTAGTTGCAATAAACGTGGCCCAGTCCTCAATCCTCAACCTGAAAGTAAATCAAAACTTGATTCTTGATCTTGACCCGCCAAAATATGAAGGTTTTCTCCGATCAATCGTCGAGTGCCTGAGGCATTCTCCGCTCGTCATAACGCTTACCAAGTCTGAAATCGTTCCTCTGGTGCATCTCTCAAAGGCCTATTCTACTGCTAGTTACACAAAAGGGTAAGAACTGATCTCCTTAGAGATCTTCAACAAAAAGACCCACATCACAAAATCAAGATTTTGTCAACTTCTAGGGCTTCCACAGGGTCTTGACATAATTGATCATGAGATCGTCTCCAACTCTCCAATCCTAGAGATGTTCTACCAGATGGGCTACAAGAATCATTGCCAGCAGGTTCTATGTTCAAGAAGCCTAACTTGTCGTCGATGTGGAATGGTCTCTTTACAAAGATCTTCAAAAGATTCTTAGAAAGGGTTATTGGTTCAGACTGTGCGAGCAAGCTATTCATGACAGTGATGTACAACATCTACTCCGACATCAACTTGGATTACGGTTCTGTTCTTTGGGCTCAGTTTGGTTCAATGAACTCTTTCAACCACACGACATAGTGAAATTTCATGTGCTCGGTTCTGGACCATCATTGTTCAAAGGGCGATTACCAAACTCAAAATTCCGGCCTTGGAAGAGTCCTGTATGGAAGTAATTCAAATCTTTCACACCTCCAATATCATCTTAGTAGACAACTCAAAGTTTAGTTTTATTGGTTCCATTCCTGAAGCAATGCTTCGTGATATTCTAGCATCGAGCGAGATATTGCGAGCCTATCACAGTTTGCCCCTCTCAGGATTTCGCCCCTTTACAGATGAAATGTGAAAGGTCCTCGAATACACGGACAAACCCAAGAAGGGAGGAAATAAGAAGGACACGAAGGTTGGTCCGTCCGAACCAGCCGCATCTCCAAAGAAAGATGGGAAATGAAAACCTGAAGTTGAACCTTCAGCACTAGCTAAAGCATCTAAGAGGAAGAAAGTTAAGAAGATGGCTCATCGTCCACGAACTTCGACACCAAGTGATCAGAAGGATTCGCAATCCCAAATGATTTTGGATATTCCTATTTGAATGGAGGTTCACAACGAAGAAGATGTTACATCTCAACCGAAGGTTTCGGAGCCGGCAACTACGAATCCTAAGGTATCGACTACAATCCCAACTTTTGTTCCAATTAATGAAGAATTTTTCCAAGATTTTTTTGTCCCTTCTCCAACTGCCACTATTTCCACTCCCATTACAATTGCCCCATGCCCACCGATTTCATTGGGTGTTTCGCAAGTCCAAACCCCATTCTTGACTGATTCCACCACCACCACCACCACTACCTTCATTGTTGATCCTACAGTGACTGTTAACACATCTTATGTGGGGGTAGGTCCTTTAGGTTTCACAATCGGTCATTCCACTCCACCTATCTCTCCTTTCCGCCAGGATGATCTAGATATGATCTATGGTGGTGATGACGATGATTTCGAAGGTTTCACCTACAGTCCATTTAACATTCAGATTGAAAGAGATGACGAAGCTCTCGTTACAAGAGGGAAACTTAAGGCGATTAATGAGAAACTAGATTCGTTGCTCCAAGCCTCTAAAGCATCATCCAGTGATGAATACTCACAAGTAACAATGAAGCCTTTCCTCGAGACCCTTACGAAAGAACACTCCGCTAACCTTGAAAAGACAAACAAAGTGGTAGATGCTTCTGCTTCAGTGTGCAACACCACGACCGAAAAAGTTGATAAACTAATTATCGATGCTCGTTCGTTCATGGAGAAATTTCAGAGATCCTTCGAGTCCAACACAGCGAATTCCATTGAAGTTATTTTTGGCCTTGGCTCCACACTTAAAACAAAGAAAGCGAAACTCGAAGAGGTTCGCACTAGTATTCAAAAAGACAATGTCAAGCTAAACTCCTCAATATCATCGAAGATCATGAATCTTCAAGATGACTTTGTTGGATAATGTGTCTAGTCCATAACTATATTTAGTATGTACTTGACCCGGCTTGGCATGGTCCATTTGGGTTGCATGGTATCTCAACAATTGGATAGACAAAATAACAAATAAGGACACTTATGATTTGTTAATATACTCTAATATATTAATATAAAATCATATTATTTAATTAGTATTGATCAAGAATTAATTTGGAATTAATTTTGTGATCAAAAGAGACTAATTAAATATATGGGGATTGATTATGTACATATTTCATTCTTATATAGTGGGCTTATGGTCCATGATTCACTAGATTGGGCTAAGACCCATTTTGTGCTCCATGGATGCTCCATGGAGGTTAAAACCCATGGATCATGGGGGAAATGAAAATCCATGCACATTAGGGTTTACTGTTGGAATAGTGTCTAAGGCTGCAACTATATTAGACAAGTATTTAACCCGATTGTGCATGGTCCTTTTGGGTTGCCTTCACCATAGCAACTTGACAGGATGATTTATTATGAGAGAATACATATTATTAATATATTATGAGAATAATATAAGGAATAATAATATTATTATTTGATTAATATAAGTCATAAATTAATTAGAATTAATTTGGTGACTTAAAGAGATTAATTAAATAAGAGGCTATAAACTGTCAATTGTTTGATAGTTACACTTTGGGCTGTAAATCTTTCTTGGATAGGGTTGGACGATTTCAAGGGCTTGGGATAAGCCATAAATCGTCCAAGGCATTATCTTGGAAAGGATTTGGATTGCTTTGAGTAAAGATTATCCAACTAGGGTTTAAGGGTGAAACCCTAGGAGCCTTACAAGTATAAATAGACCCCTAGGGCAAGGGAAATCGGCATCTCTGCTAAAGCAAAGAAACCCTGGCCGATTTCTAGTCCCTCTCCTCTCTCTCAAATCATCCTCTTGCTAGTTGGTGTTTGTAAGCCATTAGAGGAGTGACATTTGTGACTCTAAAGCTCCAAGAACAAGAAGATCAATCAAGTGTTTCAAGGTAAGCTTCTAACTCTGATTTTGTATTGTTCTTGTACTCTATTAGCCATCAGAAGTCTTGGATTCAATGCATGTTTAATTAGAGAAACCTAGATCCAAGCATTAGGGTTTGTATGTGCACATAGGAATGTTCTTATGTCCAAAACCCATCAGTGGTATCATAGCCTAGATTGGTTTCTATTAAATTGATGCTTGATTGTTTGTTTCTTGCTTGCAAAATTCGAATTTTGTGGTTCTGAGTCATGGACTCGGCGAGTTGGCCTGACCCGGCGAGTCCCATGGTGCACTCGGCGAGTCCGAGCGCCAGGAAGAGCTAAAAACGGGACTTTTTGATATTTATCTTACGGAAACATGCCTTTATCATATTAGATCAACCCTAATCCGTTTTTTTTTTGATATATATGACTATAATCTTGATCTAATTAAAGATATTTATCAATTAATAAAATATTTAATTTCCTTATGTGATAATTAATTAATTATTTTGATTAAATTGGTAATTATCTTGCAAGAAATCATTAAATAAATCAAATATGGATAATTATGGAATTAATTGTTAATTAAGATGATTTGTTATTTGATCCTCTATGTTTTAAATGTTTAAAACTTGCCCTCAAGTTTTGAAATTTATGTTTTGTGATTAAAAGATTTAATTTAGACAATTTAAATTTCAAACCCTAGAGTTATACAAGTTTAAAATACAACCCTATACTAATATAATATTACAAGATTAATATATATATATATATATATATATATATATATATATGTATAACTAAAATGCTAGTCTTACCGTTAGTAGGCCTCATTCACGAAGCCGGTCTATAAGGTGGGTATAAGGTTGCGGCCTATAAAATGGCGCTTAATGGGTATACACTCACACCCACCGCTTGCTTGATCGGTGGAGGGTCGTTAGCCGAACGGGTAGGATAGGGCAGCCTCATCCTCTCATTAAAAGTATAATATGAAATACAAAGTAACTACATGTTTTTCAAAAATTTCCCAATCTTACTTACTTTAGGAAAACTGAATTGATGCAATCCCATGAAATTACACTTTGCACCCTTGCTAACAAGTTAGTGGAGCGTGTGTGGTTTACCGGCACACAAATTGGTTCTAAGAAAAGGTGGTGAAGGGTTATTCATTGTTTATCATAGTTCGATGGAGCGTGTGTGGTTTACCGGCACATCGAATAGGTGATCGTTACAATGAAGGCACCATGTGAATTTGCATGGTAATTCACACCCGCTTTGTGATCCTCGGTATCCTAGTCAAAAACAAAATGGGCATATTGAGATTTAAACATGCCATTGAAAAGGTTCAGTGAATCTCATCTAAACCTAGGAATTCTTAAATACATTTAGAACTTAAAGTTAGCTTTTCATGGTGGAGAATTAGTGAATCGTCATTCACTTACCTTCAAATTATTTGCATGTAAGATTACGGAATCCCTTTTCTAATATGTAGATATTGTTGTTGGATCCTAGCCCTAATTTTTCTTATTGGGTGATAATTAGGGATTCATATTCTAATCTATCTTTGTCCTTTCTATTTGTAGATGTCGAACGCAAACAACGCTGCTGCTAGTTCATTCACATTGATGAGCCTTTGTCAAAAGGTCACTTTCGATGGGACGAACTTTAGCGAATGGATAAGATACATTCGCACTATTGCTCGCTATGAGGACAAGGAGTATGTCCTCGATGAGAAGCTCGAGAAAATCAACCCTGAAATCGCTACTTCGGCTGAAATGACCGCCTTTGAAACTCACGAGCGTGATGCAAAGAAGGTACATTACATCATGATTGCCACTATTGTGACAACCCGAAATTTTCATTCTGAACAAACCATATCAAGCCAATAGATGTAGAACAGTTACAGTGAAAACTCAGATTTCGAGTATAAGTTTGGCAGTTTTCAGGATTTTACAATTAAGGAGATATTAGGAGAGTGGATGCACTAGGGTTTTGTGCAACACTGTTATTCCAATACTCTAGGACATTAGAGTTTGTTCCCGGAATAAAAATATTTTCTGCCAAAAATATCTCAGGACTATAAATAGAATTCTGAAACAAATTGGTTCATTTGTTGAATTCCATTTAGAGAAAAGTCAAAATTCTCTCTCATGGATGTGACAACCCTATATTTTTCCAAAGCAGTGTAATGTTCAAATGTCAAATATAACAAAAACTAATTGGAACCAACTAAATTAACCTTGAAAATAAAGTGTTCAAATATCTAAGTTGGGATGCATCAAATATTAGATAACGTGTCAAGGTTTCCAAAAACATAAAGAACGTTCAAAACCGGGTTATATTGAAGAAATTATAACCACTCGTATATTTACGACACGCCGTTAAAACACTATTTAACGTAAAAAGTGAAATTTCAATAAAATGCATTTTTGCCTTAAGTATCTAAACAAAAGATGTAGAGTCCGCTAAACTGTAAACATACATAAAAAGATCGCCCAATTTGGACCTCGTATGAAGAAGTTACGAATTTTCAAAGTTTCGTAACAGTAGTAGAGGGCTAAAAAAACTCGAATTGAAGATCGAGTGTTAATTAGCTAACGCAACCTAAATGAGAGTTGAAGATCTCCACAATAGGAGCAATTTGATAAAAAGACAAACAAAAACCGACATCGAATAAAGAAACTATGAATTTTTAACGGACTTTAGGACTCCCGGCCTATTAAAAATATATCATTAAAAATAAAGTCAAAACTAGCCGACGGAGTCTAAATGGAAGTTGTAGAGCATAATCTCACCTACGCGTGGATATAAAGAACGCGAAAAACGGAGCCCGTACGCGAAAGTTACGGAATTTAGAAGACGGGAGTCAGGATTACGCCCCGCGTAATATGGGAGTACGCCCCGCGTACTAGGCCCAGAGTCGAGTCCCATCGGCTGCACCTCTACGCTTAGCTAGACCAGAGTCGTAAGACATGACACATTGTTACGCCCCGCGTAAACCGAAGTACGCCCCGCGTACCGAGTACGCCCAGCGTACTCCGGAAGTACGCCCCGCGTACGAGGAGTTTCCAGCCTATAAATAGAAAGGTTAAGCTTCGAGTTTTTGCACACATTCTCAAATCCTCAGTCACTCTCCCATACTTCTAAGCCCCAGAGATCATCCTGACGCCCTCAGTTTCCGCACTCGAGCCCCCGACGAAAGATCTACACTGCAGAGATCCCCGAAGAGCCCGAAAACACAACTTTCCACGGTCGAAGTTCTGCTCAACTCTAGCCTCTCTCTCTCCAAACCAAACGGGTGAGTTCATGCCCCTACTTTTCAATTCTTTTCATGTTTTAGAGGGGGGGGGGGAATACAAGTACATTACAAGTCAAAGTATCGTTTTTATAAACATAATTATAATATCTATCTTATAAGGTATTGATACAAACACCTTTATGTTGAGAGGGCTATTATATCACTAAGCTATTCTTACTAAATGGAAACATACTTTTGAGAAACTATAATGAGTATAGTTAACAAGTTATTCATACATTTTACATATACATCTTGACAAATGAAATACTTTCAAATGAAGTAAAGTCTTTATCATCGTAAATCTGTTTATACCAAGTAATGTGAGATACTCAAACTTCAACGTACTCGTATGTATGCATTTCAAGTCCTGTATTATATACCATAATCTCTTGGAGGGAGAATGTGATACTTGTGTATAGATCTATAAGGGATTGACAACCCCACACCTAAACTATTAGCTATAGTTAGACCGGCAGGTCTGGGGTGACAAATGTCATAACACTACAACACCTGAAGAATGTTGTTACAGGCCGTCAGTGTCTATAGTAAGGTTATAAAACTCACATAAAAGTATAAAAACAAGTTTGATTTACGAGATTCATATATGCATTCAGTTTTCCACTTTATTTTTAGCACAAAGTTTATCGTTTTTATTCAAGTATGGAACATACTAACGCACTCCAACTCTGGAAACTTTTCAAACCATTTATAGAAAATATTGGATT